TACAAATTGAATTAATAATCATGAAACGCCATCGAATTGTTTGATTTATTCTCAAAAACCATTCATTAAGTCAACAGTTTCCTTATCAGCATCAGATAGTGGAAAAGCCATTTGAAAGTAAAACAAATCCCCAGGAAATACACACAGAATCGACAGAAAGAGTTCAATTCTCCACGAACATCCCAGCGAGACAGAGAAGCTAAACGAAAAGCAGCTAATTTAGCTGAAAAAGTGCTAAAGTGTCTGAGATAAATTATCAGCGATCGCAGCGGACGATAGAGGAAACTCAATAGCGTATTAAAAATAGCAATTTCAAGCAAAATATTTAGCTAATTTTATTTTGCTTCACTTAGTTGATTTTTCATCAATTTTCTTATGGTGAAAACACAGCATTTTGCTCACACCATCTCGCCTCGGTCCCGTCAGATTCCCTTCAGAATTTTGGTCTGCAGATCAACTCATTGTGGCTCATTGTGGACGAAATCAATTAATTTTTGAGTTTTTTCCACACTAAAATTCATTTCCTTGACGATTTTCTCGATTTCCCATATGAAATTTGTCTATTTTGACCCTTTTGACAGCAATCGCATTGTCAGACACGTCAAACTCAAATTCAGCGCGGGTTGCCCAACGTAAAATCTGCAGGCACACACTCGACATAAAAATGTCGTGAGCAGGAAGGAAAATACACGATTCGCGTGGGGAAGAAAGAGATGAACTAAAACAATTATCCAGATGACAAAAGCTGTGTTTTTACCATTATTTTCTGCTGTTTTTGCTAAATTTATTACTTTTCTCTGATCAGAATTTAGCAAGAAAACAGAAAGTTCAATTTCTTTGGACTAAAAGGCTTGAGATCATTAATTTCATTCAATTTTGAGGTTATTTTCAAGGCGGTTTTTATATAATTCACTTGAGTGTTGTTGTCACGAAGTGTATTATTGAATTGGCATGGTTTCACATGAAGCGACATCTATTGACTAATTGCCGGTATATTCACTAGTGCGCCCGCTGAATTGCTAATATCTTAGCAAAAACATTCGCTTTTTGCATCTCAACTTTGAGATCTTAGCATTTTGTGCTCGCTGAGGTTGTTTCCAAATCAAACATTCACTGAATATTTTGATTTCTCCCAATAAAACTGTAAAATTCACCAAAAAAAAACTACTAAAGATAAATAAAACATTTGTAGGGCTGAAGAATTCCTCAAGTCAATGTGATAAGAATGAAGCGAACAAGTTCTTCAGCAACACATTTAATCAACATTCAAACAACACTCGTCAACGCAAGTTGATGGAAGACGCGAAGCCGAGATAAAAAAAACGCACCTTATCAGCCAATATTTGTGGTCATTGATTCCCCTCGATTGATTCTCCGTCGCCTTTTCTTCATTTGCTCACACACTTTTCAAGCCCTTCCCTTCATTTCTCTCTTTCTTTGAACATTTCCATAAATTCCCAATATTTATTCTTTACGATACGCGCGATGCGTTTTATCGCGCGACAAGAGAAGAAAAAGTGCAGAGTCTTCTTTGGTGCTTCATTTTCTTGTGAATTGCGCGAGATTTTTGACCTCTCGCGTGGACAAAATTCACTCCTACGCGCCGTTGAGCGACTCATGCACTGAATTGACGCACCCAAAATTATATCTTTGTCTAATCTTATCATCAACTTTCTGCTTGTGGAACACAAAATGGAGACATATCGATCCTCTTCCTCTCCTTTGCCTCACGTTGCGCGATTGATAAAAGCGTAATGATTGTCATTTATATCGAAACCGTAGCGAATTAATGGTGAATTTTACACCTTTTTTCTTCTTTTTCTCCCTTATAATTCCAACTCCGCGCCAATCAATCGATATTAGTCATCGCGGTGTTTTGCTATGCAGGAAAACATGCTTCAAATCAAACATTAGACATGAGAAAAGAGAAGCATTGATATGATCTTCAGTACATTTTTTTCAGTGGGTCTCTCATGTTTTATGTATTTTCACACCGATTATTGCACCTTAAACACTGTCTTACACAATTTCTCGCGAAGGTGTTTCAACAAGAAGCACGAGAAGTGACTCATTTCGGCGCGACGTGCATAATTTCACTCGCTTTACATTCATTTCTCTCACAATTAAATGCGTCATTTCCCCAAAATTACGTCATTCTTTGCGATCTTGAGAATCAATTTGACATATTTTTGAGAGAAAAACACTTCTTGAGACTCAGAAAACCTAAATTTGACTTTGAATTAATTGATATCAAAGACAGCAAAGGAAAATTCTTCGTAAAATACTCATTTTCACGTTGAACTGATTGAAGTTTTCGACAATTACCGACACTTATCGACACGGAATGAGTGCAATTTTCTTTTTAAAAGAATTTTAGGAGATAAAATAGGACTCAAAGGGATAAATAAGTCCTTAAATTGTTGGTTTTGACTATTTTTCCCACAAAATTGGGTCAAAAGATAAGAAATTGAACGAAGTTCGTATCAAAAAGTGTCGATAAATGTCGATAACTTCAAGTTTACTAAAGGATTAAGATTAACATTGAATAATAAATCGTCATAAAACCAAGTCTTTTGCCAAGTGAAAACAAATTAATAAGAAAATGATTCTATTTTTCTCCTTAAATGAAAAAAAAACCACTGAACAATTTGGGAATAAGAAATGAGATCAAAGATTATTCTTGGCCAGACGAAATTGACTCTCAGTGTGGATAAACGAGTTCCTGAATTATTGACAGCAATGCGGCGTGCGTAAACGCAGAGAAACAAGACTCTCGCCGCCTCTGCACGTCTGAGGTTTCTGGCCGAGTGCCGTTAACCCTGCCGAAGGAGGTCAAGAATCTCTCGGGTGAGTCAAAACACACCCCCGTGGGAGCGCCCCGCACGCGATGCAGGCGCAACAGGTGCCGGCGGAAGGGCGGCAGGAAGAAGAGCGAAAGTGTGGCTCACCTGGGAGACGAGGTGGTTGCACGTCACGGCGGAGGCGTGAATGGAATGTAGATAAGGTGTCTTCACGACAGGCACTTTGGGATCCGTCAAGTCGTACGCCGCCAGCTCCTCCTCCAGCAGCACAATCAGCACCTGCGCCTCCTGCTCGTCGCCGAACGTGACGAAGAAGTCCACGACCTTGGACGTGAAGTCCAGCGCGACTTTGGCGCCGTCCGCGCAGTGCACGGACACGCAGTGATGATCGCCGTACGCGGAGCGCGGCATGCCGCCGGAGAACACCACGAGGTCTCTGCCGGCGCGCCGCCCGGACACCAGCCGGTTGATGGACTTGCAGGGATCGGGGCCGTAAGGCACGTAGTTCTCGTTGTCCGGCACGCCGGCGTCCGCGATGCGCCAGCGCGCGAACGAGCCGTCGGCGTGATACCACGTGAAGTGCTCGCCGTCCGAGGACACGTGGATGCCCACGCTCTGGCCGTGGCCGGGGGCGACGAAGGAGCGCACGACGGCGCCGCTGGTGAGATCCCAGAGCACGCACAGGCCGCGGTTGTAGGTGATGAGCAGCTTTGTGGCGTCCGTGGGCAGCTGACGGAGGCACTCGATGGCGCCGGGGTTGAGTTTGTACGTGGAAGGCACTTGCTCCAGCACCACGTCGTGGTAGATGATGGGCTCGCGGATGCTGAAGCTCTCCAGATCGAACTGGTACACGTTGCCACCCTCCGTGCCGATGAACACCACGTCCTTGTCCAGCGAGCAGCACAGCGACGACACCTTCTTCAGCTTGCCGTCCAGCGAGAAGGTCTTCAGCGGCACCAGCATGGCGCCGGCGGGCTCCCAGAACACCAGCTGGTTGGCCGTGGTGAGCGACAGGAGGCGCCCCGTGCCCGGCACCCACTCCAGCAGCTGCACGGCGCACTCCTGCGCCCCCGCGGCGCCCGGCGAGGCCGCGGCGGCGTGCTGGCCGTAGAACTCCACGCCCGGCCGCCCGAACACCTTGATGGAGCCCGAGTGCGTGCCGATGGCCATCAGGCGGTGCCTCTCGTCGTACGCCAGGGCGGAGGGCTTGTGCGGAAAGCCATGCTGCACCGTCTTGCGGTACGCGAACAACTCCTTCTGCAGCCTCTGGCGCTCCACGGACACCTGCTGCCCCTTCCCACGGATAAACTTCAGCATTTCTGCACAGCGGAACCGCACCCAAAACTATCGCGGAACTTTTCTGCTGCCTTTGCGGACGCGGCCGATTTCCGACTGACTTTTTTTTCCACCGCGAACACCACGACAAAACCAGTCGATGACAAATCGATGAGACGCTCGGCCTCATCGACCGACGCAGCGCCGCCAGGCGGGGAGGGTCGAAGGCTTCGCCAAATACAAATTCGACAAATTCGTTTGTTTCTGTTCTGCGGGGAAAATAAGACACTCTCAAAGGAATTAACAAGTAAATCTAATAGGGAAATACGGTGAAAACGCATCTTCAACGTGGTGTTGGCCAAATGGGCAAAAATACACGTGGCCGTAATGCTTTATAACGGGAAAAAATTAATTTTAAATGTTCTGTCGATTAGGTTTTGTCAACCAAATCATACTGAATAAATTTATGATGAATATCAAATGTGTGGAAGAGTTTCTTCTTACTATATAGAAGGCTTCTCTCTCAAAGGTTATTCAAAGTATAGGGACAGATGGAAATACAATTCCATAGAAGTTTATACTTCATTTGGAACATTTTATAATAACACAGCAACCTTATTTTGCGCCGAAATTACACATTTTGCCTTCGAAAGGCTATTTTTTCGCATCTGCTGTGTTCGATCAATTGCAAATGATGAGGATCGAACACACGACCGTGGTAATCTTAAGTCCGTCACTCTACCAACTGTACCACGGCCACCCTTTGCATCTGAAGCTAAAGATCTCCTGAAACATGATTTCTGAATGACCTAAGAATCTCTGAAACGTCAATTTGGACGTGTTAACGATCGACTAGAAGCTGATGCCTTCCACAAGAGGATCTCTGGTACTTCTGAGAAGGATTAATGAAAGATAATGTGTGTTTGCTTGCGGATTTATTGGCTTCACGGCTTGTAATGCTCCCACTTGCGGTGGTCCAACTTCGTGAAGTCCTCGCAGTGCTCAGCGATGTCCTTGAGGTACACAGCCAGCTTCAGGAGCTCCCTGTCCGTGGAGCGATTCACGTGGGCTTGACGGAAGGGCCGAATTCGCAGTCCGGAACGTGGATTCATGAGAAAATTGCGCCGAATGTCATCGAACATGATCGTGTTCTTGGCGGAATATTGCTTGAATTTCCCCCAAATCACGCCCAGAGGCTTCACATCAATCACTCCGTGGTCGCCGGTGTAGATGCTGATCATGGCGCCGCTGTCCAGATAGAAGAGAATCTTGTAGTTCTCATTGGTGCTCACGCCCAAGAGGCGCATCTTCTCCTCAATCCATCGCATCCCGGTGGCGCTCCAGATGACGATGTCGTAGTTCTGGTGAGCTGAAGTGAGGAACTCATGCAGGAACGGCCGCATCAGCTCAGTCCCTTGCTCTGCCGTGGAGCGATGATCGAAGAGAGTGTAGTCAATGTCCAGCACGAGGAGTTTCTTGCCCTCGCGCGGCTGATTCCTCATCTCGATCTTGTAGTCACGAATGCGCTTGCTCACCTTGGACAAGTACACTTCCTGCTTGTCATACGACTGCTCCTCGAAGGGATTCGACGTCTCAAAGTCATCTATCACATCCTCCTCCTCAGGCACTGTGCAGACCTCCTCGATATCCGCCTCAATTGAGCCCACCATCATCAGCTTGAAGTTCGGCTTGATCTCCAGTGCTGAGAGCCTAATGTCGTCCGATGCAAACTTGCCTGGACCACGAGAGAGGAAATCTCTGAAGCAAAGGAGAGAATTGAGGTGGAAAAATGCGAATTACCTTTATATTTGAGGTTGAGAAGTTTCTGTCTGTTGGGCTGAACGTTGGTTCTCTTGCATATCTCATGCTTGAGCAAGGCCACTGTGTCCTGTTCCGTGAGATCTCCTATTTCGTACTCCTTCCCACTCCATTTCACGATAATTTTGATCTCCTTGAGGCCACTCATGATTCCGCAAAGCATTCACCGCAACTTGTGTTTATGTTTACCCACCGCGCCACCTTGGCTGTCATCAAGTTGGCTCTTTTTGGAGCATTTTCGGTCTCAGTTGACTTCCAAGCGACACCAGATGGCGCACTTTCACCACATGCACGCTGGTTTTTAGTTCCGAACTTCACCACACAATGAATCGTGGCGAGTTTCCGGGACGTTCAGTGTGTTTTGCATACATTTCGGCGATTTGGCGGAATTTGCATTTAAACCATGAATGCGCGCATATAAATTCCAAGACATTTTAATGCTTGCGATGAAAGGAAAGCACCGTATCTCTCGATATTGATGGTAATTGTTGATTCGTAAAAATCTCCGCGTAATTCTCAAGCAGAAAACATGCACAATATTGCATAAGACACTCTTTTTTGTCTTTTAATTATTATTGGCTCTTCATCGAGTATCGCCGCGGAGTGAAAGAGAAGTGATCATATTTTGCTAGAGAGCGGCGCCTTTGTGGATTAGCACGCCTCGCTGGGCTCTCAATGGATCGTGTCCGGTGGCTTCGAAGTGCACCTGAAGATCTCTTCAGTGCCGTCTTTGCGCCGGCAAACAATCCATCCGGAGGAGTGACATCCCCGGAAGATCACGATGAAGGCGAAAGTCTCCTTATCTTGAAGTGCAAAAGAGTGTTTGGGCCTTATCGCTCAGCACAGCTGCATTTTGCTGCTCTTTTTCGCGGGCTCAGCAATCGATGAAAAATATTTATGCACACAATTTATTGTCTTATTCATTCCCCTGTGGACGCCGAGCATGAGAAGCACGACTTGAATGCCCTTTCTGTTGTATCAATTTGCATAAAATTCCCTCTCGCGATGCTCGCATGCGAAAATGGACAGATCTTTGGCCAAACACTTGCGCGCCCGTCCATTGTCGCGCCGAATCAATGATATTTGGTGTGTATCGCGTCATAAAATCCAATGGATTTCTGCAAATTGCTAATGCAAATTGAAATGTGTCGAACAGACCATTAAAGAGAGATAAAATGCCACATGAATGTGGCGAAAAAGGGCGGCCGAGTGTCGTTGCAAAGTGAAGTTACAATTTTTATTGCGCCACATTTCTTCTCAAAATGTCCAGGAGGGAAAATCAAAGGAGGAAATAACACAGTCTCAGAAGAAGAGTAGTTTTCTGCGTGCTTCTTCGTGCTTTTCTATGTTATGAGAAGACTTCAAGAGCAAAATCGGAATAAATTGTGATTCTGAAGCTACAAAGTGTGCTAAGATTTACAGATAAAAGAAACATAACCTCAAAAATGACAATTCAAACTGAGAAAACGTTCATTTACAAAGCTTTCTGATCTTCAATCTTAAACACTTCAGTCATTTCTGAACGATTTTAAAGGCATTTTTCATAGATTTTTACAACTTTCCAACTGTTTTTCCTTCGCTATGTGCTTAGAAAAATTCTTATCAAATTGTGAGGTTATGAATCCTGTTTTCAGACTTGCAAATGAGTAAATATAACGAATATCTCAATGATTCTACAAGATAATTAGGTTTAATTTCCCATTTTCAGCACAAACAGCGGAAATAACTAAGAAAATAGACATTTTTGAGGTTATGTTTTATTTCAAGGATATTTCTCAATAATTATGAAGTTTTTTCGAACACAAATACTCAAATTTGTTAAGAAAATAAGAAATATTCACAAATTAATTATAAAGTTGATCATTTTATTTGCCAATAATCTGTTTTAATTTAATGACATAACCTATAAAAACAGTAAAATTTGTAGAAAGCGTTTTTGTACATTTCATAATGAATTTTTAGTGGAAATATCGAGTGAAAACTATAGAATAAGATAAAAACAAGTCAGTTTAAGAGGGTTAAAGTGTTGAAAATTATCTCCTCCTTGGCAAAAAATTAAAAAGATGTCACGATTTGGAATTTTCATTGAATTTCAATTCCATCGCGAAATCGTGGATTCTTCGAGCGGGCAAAAAGACTCTGAGACAGTCACATTTTCTTTCAAACTCTTACTTGGCGAAGACTCTTTGCAATCAGTCTTTTTTTCAGGGTGGAGATAAAGCCTTCTTCGCCTTCTTCGTCTTACCGTGAATAGAGAGACGGCGAAGAATCTAGTGGAATAACGCCAAAATCATGTTTTCCGGTGAATATGACATCGTGAAGATCGAAAGGCGAAGACACTCAAGACAATCGAGTGAAATGTTATTTTTAATGCAAGAGATTTATGTATCTTCACATGCTCAGAAAACCCATTTATGCATGCAGATTGTCAAGTGATTTGTGATGTTGTAATAGCGAAAGAGAGAGAGAGATTTTTTGGGGGATTCTTTTGAGGGAGTTAATTCGGTGGCTTCAGAGCTCTTTCATCAGTGAATTCCCAAGTGTGTGTTTTTTAGAGTGAATTTTGGAATATGTGACATTCAAAGGTTGTGAAAGTGCTCGTGACTCTATTGTATCAGCTCAGCAAAAGTGCATCCGCTCTTTTGGAGTTAAAGAATATCTCGCGGAGAGCGTCTGTCTCTGTTGTGCAATCGAGCTTTTCTGCTGCAACAGCGATACATATTTTTGATTAATAACCCAAAGAGCTCTGGTGCCGATAAAAATGTCACAAGTGCGCGCATTACGATGATGAAAAGTCAATGATTGGGATCTCCAGAGGGATTTTGCCACAACCATTCGCGACAGTCGACTTGTATTGCTCGTGAAATCATCTTTTCCACTCTCTAAATCCACAATTTTCATGGGATTATGAAAACAGGGCGCAAAAAAGCGAATGATTTGGCATTTAATTGAACTTTAGCAAAACTGTCTTTGCCATGAGATTCAATATTTATCCCAACCTTAATTAGCTATTCTTAGATAAAAGATCTCTTGTGAAGAATGTTATCACACAATTCCAGACAATCTTGGACTTTCACTCTTAGCCAAGGGGGAGATAATAGAGTCTAAAGTGGTGTACAGCTCAGTAGAAGTGTTTAAGAAGTGAAAGTGTTCAAAAGCTTACAATATTCCTTTCCTCTGTGCTATTTTTACTGACAAATCTATCCCAATCCTTCGGATTTCACTTGATTTTTACACAAAAACAATACTTTTCTAGGTTATGTAACGAATCACGGACAGATTTTGTGAATATTTCTCACTATAGAAACATCAATTCTTATTCTCAAGTCCAAGAGATCGAGTTATTGGCAATATTAAGACCATTTAACACCACGAAACACTGTAAATTGTATTGAACACGAACATAACCTCAAAAATAGTAATTTGGACTTGAATTCATTCAAGTTCAGTTCATTTAGAAAAATTTCTGCATGGTTTTAACGTTAAATCAGCACTTATCAAGCGATTTTATTATCTATAAACCTTCTAAAGTGAGTTTTTGAAGATTTCTTGGTTATATTTTTGAGGTTATGGTCGGAAAAGATGTCGAAAAGAGTGTTTTTAAATGGATTCTTGCAGAAATATCAAATGGAAACATAAGAAATTCATAAGAGCTTAAAAACTTCGTGTTCTAGAAGTGTCAGGCAAAATTGGAAGTGTTTGGCAGATTATTTCCCCCTTGATCTTGGCGATGGAATTGCTGCAGTTGCTAAAACCCTTCCTAATCTACCTTCGAGTGTTCGGAATTTGCTTGCAAACGCCGGAAATGACGAACAGAGCTAAGAAGTGGATGATTTCTTTGACTGTGGCAAATCTTCTTTATCTCATCTTCACTCCAATTCTTATAACATTCTTCGCCTTCTTCACACTTCAACGCATCAGCAGCAGTTTGGATATCAAATCAATCTTCCACATTATCATCTACTACGGCGCTTTCGTCATTCACAGCATTATCATTGTCGAAATGCTGATGACGAAGGAAAAGCAGTACAACTTCTGGAACACTTTGCTGACCATCGAAAGAACTTTCTCACGAGACAAATTTCGCCTTCAGAAGGCAAATAAGCTTCTCCGGAGGAAATTAATTAACAGAATATTCCTACTTTCTTTCTCTACAATTGCGTGCAAAATTGTGTTGTGGACGAATAATAGATTCTCAGACATGCACATTAGTTGGATCTTAATTGATATCAGCACTTTTTGGTGTCAAGAATGTGGAAGACTTAATTTCTTCTGTCATTTCATTTTTGTCGAGATTATTCGATTGCACGTGATTCTCTACAACGACAAGATTAGAGAAATCGCGAAGAAAGCCTGCAAACACAACGCTAAAGATCTTCTTCGGGAGCTGAATGTCTTGAAGATCAGACACAGTCTTATCTGGAAGCTGAATTGCTGCTTGAATTCGTTCTTTGAATGGGCGCAAACGCTCAATTTTCTCTACTACTTCTTCAACATCACTTATTTTCTCTATTGGCTCTACTTTCTCATCAATTCCAGTGGAACAGCGCAAATATTCCGTAAGTTTTACTCCTTAAGATACCATGACAATTAAGTAAAATATTCACAGTGTTTTCCCTGCAATAGTCGAAATGATTATCTTCCTCATTCACTGTGTTGTGGGTTTGATTTATTTCTTCTACTCCTGCGAAATGCTCAAGGAGGAAACCAAGAAAACGCCTTCATTGATACACGAAATCAATCAACAGATCCTGAATCCATTTGATCAGAATATTCACGACTCAATTATGACGTTATCAATGCAAATCCATCACGAGAAGATCTTTATAAGTTACGGAGGATTTTTCAATGTCGATTTGGCATTATTAACAACGGTGAGAAATTATTTAGTGTGAAAAGAGGATAAATTGAATAAAATGCTCAATTTTTTTCAGATAAGTGCAACAATTGCAACATATTTGGTTATTTTAATCCAATTTATTGGTTGAACATTGAGAAAATAGACATCAGCAATAAGAAACTGGAAGCATTCGAGGCTCTTCACATCTTCTTCTCGTGGCATAGAAATGTCAATAAGAAGGAAGATTGTGCTGGCGTTAGCATAATCATCACCATTTGGTCTGCAAATAGAGTGAAATACCCTGTAAAGTTAATGAATGTTGTAATTGCGTATGGAAATTAATTTAGATTCAATAAAGATTTGATTAGTGCGT